CATTATATACTTGATTCTTAATCTTTCTCCACAATTTTGATTCTCGGGGATACTGCTGCTCTTCTCTAATGTTTGCTTATGAATCCTGGGGCTTGTTTACATTCACCCTGAATTGCACCCCATGGGAAAAAACACATCGCTAGAACCCCAAATTGGGGCCAGACTATCTTCACGACGTGCACACCCAATTCAGGACTTCCTCCCCCTAACCTGCATTTAAATAACACTCCTTTTGCTATAGGTTTTTGGCTCTCTTTGCAGCAATGACAGTGGCTGCCTTTTCATTTGCTGTGCCCGTGAGCTGCTTGGCACCATGGGCATGAATACTCTGTGGTCAGAATGAGGTGTCCAGCATTGGTAACATGGCTGGACACCTCATTTTGACCTTAGTCATGGGGGCCACATGGGAAGGCAGCCACCCCATTATTCACTATGAGAACCAAACACCCACAGCAAAAGAGAGCCGGGGGGGGGGATTCAGGACCAGAATACCCCAGGGGCAGCCTGGAGTATTCTGGCAAGTATAGACCCACCCCTGGTCAGCAAATTTCCTTTCCAGTGCTAATTAAAATTTTCCTGTTCTCATATCTTACCAATTTTATTTCATGTGATTATGGCTGGGTTCATGTCATGATTAATAGCCTCTTAATTGACCCCTTGAATAAATTGCTGCAATGTTCATTTTTCTCCCTGTGAGAAGCAGGAGGTTTTAATTAATGACTGTTTCCCTTGCGTTATTTTTTATTTATATTGTTTTATGGTGAAAGTATTATTTGCTATAAAAATGAAAGGGAGGGATGAGATTAAACCAATAATTTATAGACTGCTTATCTGCCATGCAGAGAAAAAGTAAGGGGGGGGGGAAAGAGAGAAGCAATGGGGAAAGTAATGGGGAAAATGTGTGGCACAAATATGCAATATATATATATATTAGTTGCAATCTGAAAACAAAATTAGTGTCAGCCCTAGATGCTCAGCCTTCATAGAAGTTTAAGCTCAGTTTGATGAAACCACATGGCTCAGTCTGCCATTTTATACTTAACCTGCTGTCACTGTGCTTTGTGTTTTTCATTTAACTCCAGGTGGAATCGATGCGCCACTCCATGGGGGCTGGTGGCTATGGAGACAGTATGGCTGCCACCCAGATGTACAGCCCACGGGAAATGAGGGTGAGCTTGTGCCAGGAGACTGACACCCAGTTGTCACTATAAGGCTACGTCATTGCTAAAACCCACCACAAGGCCTTAAATATTGAGTCCCCATCTATTAATGGGCAACTTTCTGTTAGTTCTGTACTACTTTGGACTGCAGGGAGACTCAGATGATTCAGTGAGAATCAAAACTAAAGACCTTCATTCTGGTCAGCATTTGGGAAACCTGCAAACAACCTATGAAAGCAGTGGCCCTCCCCATCTCTGTTTATTCAGAATGCATTTAAATAAGGACGATCATGGTTTAGCATGCTGTGTAGAGGCGTATGTAAACCATTTGCTTTCACTTTGCTTCTCCCCATATGTGTGACTGCTAAAGAAGTCAGGAGAGAGATGTTTAGCAACAGCACTAGCAGGGAGAAGCAAAGAAAGAAACAAGGAAGGGTTTGTTTAGTACATTGTTTGAAGCATATCATGGATTATTGCTCCTTGTGTATGCGAGAATAATAAAACCAGGGTTTGCTCTGGATTTATCAATGCTGGCTTGTTTGGCAGCTATAAGTTCGGAGACCCAGTTCAGACAGCAGGCTAAACAAACCATTCCTAGTTTGTTCAATAAACTGTATTAGCAGGGAGGAGTGATGGGCTGTGGATGAGCATGCAGCTCATTTATGATAAATCAGAATCTTCCAGAATTCTGCCCGTAATTATTGGATATTCTATAACTCTGTGCAGGTTCTATTTAACTTAGCTCACAACCCGTTATAGACATATCCCTAAATAAATTTGTTCAGCCAGTGATTGTGATCAAATTTTCTGGAGATTAACTGTTTATTGTATGAAGAAGTGCTTTTATTTGGATCTCAGTTCTAGTTTTGAATGCTAGAAGAAAAAATTATCTCCATGTGTGCCTTGCCATGCATAATATTATGACCCCTGCCATTCTTCCTCTTGAATGATCCTCCATAATAAACTATTAAAAATCCCTTAATAAAGAAAACTAGATGCCAAAAGAAGGATTCTAGCTTGCTCATATTCCCCAATGTGCTTGTTTCTTATATGTTAGGAATTGTTTCATATGGAAGAGCATGTTATCACTATACTCTTACCTACATTGTGAAGTGGTATGCTCAGTACAGGTGTACCCCTCAAAGGATTTCAGTCTGCGAAGCATTGAAATCCATGCTTCTTAAAAAGTGTTTATTAGAGCTGAAATGTGAGAAACTAGAGACACTATTGTTTGTGTTATGTGATGGGCCCTCAATATCTGCTGGAGTGTGGTACCAGGACCCTCCATGGGTATCAAAATCCATGGATACTCGTCCCATTATATACAGTGGGGTAGTAAAATGGTGTCCCTTGTATAAAATGGCAAAATCAAAGTATGCTGTTTGGAATTTTGTTTTCTTAAATAATTTCAAGCTGTGGTTGGTTGAATCTGTGAGTGCAAAATCTGTGGATACAGAGAGCCAACTGTAGATTAGATTTATTTTCATGACAGTGATGGATGGAAACCATCATGAAACATGGTGATAGACTGACATACAGTAGACATGTGCCAGGACAGAGCTTATGGGTTGTACTAAGCTGCACATTCTCTATAGAAAACCATTGACTCATAGTTTTGGGACATGCTAGGAAGTGGGAGGGTGAGTAGGTGGGTTATTCCTTCTGTTAGAACCATTCTGGTAGTTTCTTCCTTCCTTCCTTCCTTTCTCTCTCTCCCTGTGGGAGGCAAGGAGAGGTGAAATGGTGCTGGGACTTTTCAGAAGGCAAATGATTTAGTAGCTTGGAACGTGCACAGGAATACAGCTCCAACCTAATATCTCATACTCTTCCAGGAAATTAAATTTACAATGGTTTTTCCTTCTTTTTCACTAGGCTAATGGTGGCTGGCAAGAAGCAGCCACTCCTTCTTCCGTGACTTCCCCAACAGAAGGTCCTGGCAGCGTCCACTCTGACACCTCCAACTGATCCCGTTGTGCCATGCCCCCCAACCCTCCCTTTCATGTTCCTCATGGCTCCAGGGAAGAGAAACATGCCAGTGCTGAACTCAGCTGGGCAGGGAAAGAACAATATTCACTGCCAGGGGATGATGTCTGCATCACCATGTCGGGGAGGGGATGGGGAGGGAATCCAATACAGCACTTCTCAAGATTCAAGGCGGCAGTGCTCCATGGGGAAAATAATTCAGAAGCCACCCAGCGTGATCTGGGATGATGGTCTTTTCCATGATCCTGAGGGGGAACCTCTTAGTAACCACGATGCAAGTCTAGAAATGGTGAAGGGGACCCAATATGAAGACACGGGGGTGGTGGGGTGGGGATGGGTGGAAGAGGGCTATTCCCAATTGGTTTATCTTCTTGGAGGGACTAGGGGAATAATCTTACATGGCACCTGCAACCAGTATCACAACCTGCTGGATCAGTCTTGTAGGTAACATCTGCCTGAAAGGACCTAAAATGGCCTCTCGCTGCTTCCTGTGGGATACGATTCAAGCTGGCAGCAGCACTGATAGGCCTCATAGGATGAGCCAAGAAGTTTGCCCGATATGGCTTAAGTTGGCATCTCTCCATGACGGGATGATTCCAAGATGGCAAACTGGTGTCTTCCTGTCAAGTTTGACTAAGATGTATAAAAAGGAGAAACAATCAAAGACTTGGATTCTGTGTTTACCCACAAGATGGCATCTTCTCCACTGGCCATGGTGATTGAGGACAGCAACATCCTTTATGGAATCTTTTCTAAAGAAAATGAACATAGAAAGTGCTGCTTTCTTCCTGTCTTGACACAAGATTGTGCAAGATCACAGCGACACTCCTGCCTGGGATGAATCATCCAACACCTCTGCCTAATGAATATTTTCCTTGCATACTAAGATCTAAGACAACTTGTCATCTGAATGGGAAAGTGAATGTTCCCCTGAGGTGTTGTCCAAAAACGAAGTTGTTATGGTAGGGGCCAAGATGTGGCTGACAGGCGTCCCTCCACTAGGCTAAGAGATGTAGCTGAATGGCATCTTTCCATTCAGCTAAGGCATCAAACATAATATGGTACCTTTAGCAAACACATTGTGCTGGTGGTGAGCAGTTCAGAGTACTAGAGGAGGAGAAGGAAAAGCAAGCACAAACATCTTCCCTCCTTTGATACATGGCTGGATGCTTGAAATAGGTTAGGGGTGGAGGGAGCTATTGGGATAAGGAAGCCCAGCTCACCCAAAGCATACATGTTACATTAGCTGCATTGTGAGTGGTGGGACTCTTTTTCTTCCCCTCTCCTGTCAGTCCCTTGCTTTCCATTCTTTTTTGTTTTTCCCTCTCTCTTTGTCTTACCATTTATCTTATTTTGATCATTATATGACTAGTTCTCCCCTCCCCTGCCGTTACTGTCTTGATATTTTCCCCTCTTGTTATATATTTCTTGTCCTTTTCTTGATCTCCAGCACGTTGGGGCTTTTTTTTTTCCTGCCAATCAAACAAAGTGTAGTCAATTGGTTTTTCCCTTTTCTGTGATACTTTTGCCAGCTCTTAATCTTGTGATGATAGGATGGGGGTGGAATATACTTAAGAAGCAGAATGAAAAAGGATATCCATGAAAATGGCACAGAGCTGAGTCAGGAAAAGTTGGGCGACTTCTCATTATTTGGTTTAGAGTGTCAGCACTCCTGCCGATGTGCTGTGGGTCAGAGTCAAATTGTTGTGTGCCTTCAAGTTGTTTCTTACTTATGGCAACGCTCAGTTGAACCTATCACAGGGTTTTCTTGTAAATACTTGGTCAGAGGAGGTTTTGCCGTTGTTTCCTCTGAGGCTAAGTGTGTGTGCTGTGCCCAAAGTAAACCAGTGGGCTTTATGGCCAAGCTGGGGTTTGAACCCAGGTCTTCAAAGTCACAGTCCAACACCCAAACCACTATGCCACGCCGATGTTACTAAATTCATTATTGCATTCAAAGTAGTTTCCTTAAAAAAAGTATACTCTCACACCATTGTGGTTTCGGTGAAAATCATCCCCCATGGAACTGTTCTTGTCAGTGGAAAGAAAATTCCCATTCATGGGGATTTGGATGTGACCTGAAGAGTAGGGAAGGCAAGGTTTTTGTTGGTACCATGATAAGAAGAGTCTGGCTCCCTTTTCATGCCTGCTGAAATCCAGAGCATCTCGCCTCACTGCTATTTGTGGAATCAGTAATGCATTTAATGTAATGTGTATTTCAAAACTCTCCCAGAGGCTCATGAAATGTCCCTTGTGAGAAAGTTAGTATCAACGGACAAGAGTCCACGAAAGTCACATTTCCTGAGTATTACCAAAGTTTTCTGGAAAGTGCAAGCGCAAGAGAACATGTGGTGATGGTGGCAGTGGTTTCGGGCACACTTCCAGTCTGCATAGGGTGATGTGAAGGTTGCAGGGGCTTCGCTAGTGTGAACTAAATGGGTGTCATGGGATAGTGCTACTCAAAGTGGTGACCTCTGAGCCATTGGCTGCCAGTCCCTACCAAGTTTCAATGAAAGAAGAAAGCACTTGTTGCAAGTGGGCAAAAACATGTTGCAAGTCCCTGGCTCTGGGGTGTGTGTATGGAATAATTGTTCTCCCCAAATGAGATAGCAATAGCAGCCCCACTATGGGACATGACTAATGCAGTATCCTGGGGCTCTGTCACGTGTGTGTCAATATATTTCCTTGAAAGGAGGGGGGAAAGGGCATGGAAACAGCTACTGATGGTAAACGTGCCTTTTCCCAAGAATAGCATGTTGTCTTTGAATATTCTGGCAGTGTAGTGCTTTGCAACAGAAGTGTATGCCACGAAGGAAGGCTTGTGCACTAAATACAAAATTAGTACCTGATGTCCTTGGTTGGGCAGAACAACTCAAACCCTGATTGTGCAGAAAAGCTCTTATGCTCATTCATGTCTGTGCATTCATTTTCCCTTTGGCCCAATACTTGGCATCTCGGGGAAAGGATTTGAACAAATCGGACAATTTGATGAAGATTATAAATGTTTTCTTTTCTTTTCTCTTCTCTCTCCCCCCCCCCCCCATCCCATGAATCCCAACTCAATGAGGATGTAACTGCCTGACTCGAGGGAGTTAAATTTGGTTTAATCCTAGTAGAAGGCTTAGTTCAGAGCTACATTTTCCCTGTGAGATTGGGAGAAAAAAACAGAATGGATGTGTAAATAGTTCAATGTGGGGAGTGAATGATCTGAATGAGAAAGACTGAACTGAGGAGGGAGATGAAGAATAGTCAGCAGTCTAAAAACAATGGATCCAAGAAGAGTTGAAGTGAGAAAGTGGATAAGGATAGCTATTGAAAGTAGTGAGAAATGAATAAAATCTGGTAGGAAAAGAGTTGATGGGAAGATAAACAGTCTAAAATCTCACAAAATGAAAATATTAGCTAAAGAACACAAATGTGAGGGCAGGAATATTAAGCTAAAAGGTTAGCTTAATATTAAACTAGAAGGCTGATGAGATTACAGGCTGGAAAAAGGGAAAGTTAGAACAGTAGTGGAAAGGAGTGTAGAAAAGATCCAATAGAAATTATTGATTGGGGTAAAAACTCATGGCACCTATTTGTAACCGAGAATGGAAGAAAACAGTCGGAGGGCATGAGAAGATACCAAAACAAGACTTGAAGGAGGAATGTGAAGACCGTCAATGGATGGTTGAAAAGAAAAGGGTAGTTGGAGAAAGAGGCGAATCATGAAAAGCATCAGACACTCCAATGGGATTGAAACCAAGAAGGAATGTGAGATGGGCAGCAAGCGTTCTGGCAATGTTCAGAGACGAGAGAGCAACCAGGAGAGACCCAAACCCAGAAGACCTTCCACTTGCTCTCATCTTCATATTCACGGGAAGGCTCCATGCTAGTCAGTCCAATAGCTTTATTACCTCATGGCGCAAGAAACCAATAGAGACTTGGGACAGAGACCTTTTGAACCTGCTACCTCTGTGTGCCCTGGGGGCGGGGGGAGACTTGTGTTGGGGGCCCCCCAAAAAACACTGCCCCATTTCCCTTGACGGAGGGTGTTGGGGCTCATTGCCTGACTGGCCGTTTTGACTTGTTCTGTTTTTGGCTCTAGGTTTCCTTTTGCTTTTATTATCATCATTATTTTTCTTCTATAAAATTGAAGACAAGTTTTGCTCCGGAATTCATTTGTTGGAAGAAAGCATGAACGGGGGTCTGAAAACTTGGCCCCTTTCATTGGTTGCAAAGTAGTTGGTGCAAGTCATGCCTACGCAAATACCTAACTAGATTGTGTATTGTCCACATATGTCATTCAGGTGCATACAAGATCTCCAAAACTCAGTTCATATGGCCAGGTTGTCATGTGAGGGGGGAGAGGGAAAGTACAGTTGCTGTTTCATTTTCACAGGAATCCGTTCCTGACCCCCTCCCCCCCCCCGTGAAAATGGAAAACCACAAATTTTCAAGCCCCATAGGCTTGAATGGGGGTGCATGCCACAGGTGTGCCCCCATTTTATCCCTCTCCATTTCCCGCCCACTAATGGGTGAGGGATGCAGACTTGAAGTCTTCAAAAATGGAGAGTCAACTGTAATTACACTTATCCCTCGACGTTTGTGGCTTTGACTTTTGTGGATTTGATTATTCACCGATTTTATTAATATGTTCTCTCTAGGGATATCTAGGTCCTCCAGCACAACTCTGTGGTCAACTTTAACCAAAAATTGCATTGAGGGACCTAGAGATTCCTAGAGAGAACATGACACTACACTTTTATAGCTCCTCCAGTGCAATTCTATGGTCAATGTCTGGCAGATGTTGACCACAGAGTCGCACTGGAGGACCTAGAGATTCCTAGAGAGGTGTTATCTCAGGTAAAAACATAGTGCTTTTGTTATCTCTGGTTTTTCCACATTCACAGGGGTCCTGTGCCCCTAACCCCAGCGACTGTGGAGGGATGAGTGTATAGCTGGCCCTCCACATTTAATAATAATAATAATAAATTTTATTTATTTCCCACCCCTCTGTCATACAATCAAGGCGGCTTACATCATTAAAATTCAGTACAATGTAAAATACAATCCCAAGCCCATAGACCCTCCCACCCCTTAAAACAGAATTAAACAATGATTAAATTAAAACATAATACTTAAAAACAATTCAATTACATTTGCTGGGGTTAGGAGCACAGGATACCAGTGAAAGTAGAAAAACCACAAATATAAAAAGTGTTTTTACTTGAGAGAACACCTCTCTAGGAATCTCTAGGTCCTCCAGTGCAACTCTGTCGTCAACACCTGCCAGACATTGACCATAGAATTGTGCTGGAGGACCTGCAAATGCCTAGGGAAGTGTTTTCTTTAGGCATCTCCAATTCCTCCAGTGCAACTCTATGATTAATTTCCAGCAGAGTTGTACTGGAGGACACAGAAATTCTTAGAGCGAGCATACTAATCAAATCTGCAAAAGTCAAAGCTGCAAATGTGGAGGGTCAACTGTACAGGCAAGTAGTTCCACATGCTATAACCGCTGTCAGTATTTTCCCCATACCAAGCATAGTGTCAGGGGAGGTTGTTGGTTGGGGATCATCCAAACCATATGAAAAATAGATTCCTATAGCTTGCCAGCTTTCTCCATATAGTTTCAGGTTGCTCTTGTACAAAATTATTTTTAAAATCTACCTAGACTTTGTATCATCCACATATGTCATTCAGCTGGCATACAAGATCTCCAAAACTCAAGTTTGTACAACCAGGTTGTCATGTGAGGGAGAAATGGAAAGTAATTATGGGCAAGTAGTTCTAGATATGATGTAGCCTATGTCAAAGTATTTGCCCCATATCAATACAAAGTATGTCTGAGGAGGTTGTCAGTAATCTGAACCATATGAAAAATAGACCCCTGTAGCTTGCTAGATAAAGCATCCTCCATATAGTTGTTTCAGATAGCTCCTGTACAAAATCATTTTTAATTCTCAGCTGTTGATGGCAGCCATGTTGTTTCTTAAACCAGGGATGGGATTGCCATTTGGCCAAACGTTGACAGAAGTGCCTTTATAAAAAGAGAAATAAGTCCAGATCTGATTTATTTGGAATAGCTTGTTCCTTAAGCTTTTCATTTTGTTCGGAAGTGGTTATAAGGTTTTTTTTTTGGTTTACTGTAGGGAGGATGAAATTAGATAGGGACTTGCCACATTGAGACTATTTCCTCACACAAATCCAAGCTAGGTCTAACGGAACCAACCAAATAAGGAATAAATGTATTGTGGGAGATCTAGTATCAAGATCTCAGATTTATTTTTACAAGATGGGAGTGGATGGATTTTTAATCAGTGATATGTGCTGTTTCCCTATTCAAGCATATTTTCTTGCAAAAGAGGCTCTCTCCATGTGGTTCCTGTAAGTACCGTGGCCTCACCAGGACCCTAAGCTTTTGAATTCATGACATACCAAAAAAACCCTACTAAAACTACACACATTTTCATCTGGAAGATGTCTAGGGAGTGTAGTTGTGCTCTCAAATGCTTTTTTTAATGCCCTGCTCTTTGCTCTAAAAAATAGCCATAAATTGAAATGACCAGACCACCACTTCTTGTTCCACAAAATGGTGGCAATGTGGCCCATGCAAGGGTGGAAAAATGTATGTCAGACTCGACATGTGCTACATAGAAAAGACATGTAGTAGTATATATTTATCCTATGCTATAAATTCCATCTTTAGCTAGGAAGACACTGGATCTTTAATGTCTTATTTTGCCCCAACATCTGGAAAGGGTGCAGGTGGTTTACTTCTAATAAAAATAAGCCAGATACTCAGTTGTACTGATGGGTGAGTGTTCTCATCCCCAGAAGAGGTATTTCTTTATTGTGTGGCTGCATGTGCCTTCCAATTGCTTGTTGAATTACAGCAACCCCATACCTTTCACAGGGTTTTCTTAGGCAAGGGAAACTCGGGCGGT